CTTATAGTCTTTGGCATCACGTGCCGGCTAACGAGAGCCTCGTTAGTTACTAACGAATTGTTTGGATACAATCCAACTCCCAAAACGTGCTTTCCATTTGTTTAATATTCGAATTGGTGATGATTCAATTTGAATGTACTAACAGCGTAAACCGAGTTACTTGCGATGCTCTCGGGAAAAGATTGCCGGATTTTCATTTAAATTACTAGGAGATAATTATAATTATAATAATTAAGCTACTCTGTTCAAAAAAATCTGATTTTATTTAGTCATAGAAAATTTAACTTAATTTCTATAGGATATTATATTGCAAGTTTAATTGAGTACTTAATTTTATGTATTCATTTTTTAAGTATTATAATAGAAATCATTTTTATGATTATTGCAATTTTTTCGATATACAAGACGTCGAAACTAATTCTTGTTAAATAATTATACGTGGTAAAGGAATTGTATAATTATTTAGTACAATTATTTAGATATTATTAATCATTTCAACTGTTTCACAAAATAGGATTATCAATGTTAATAAGTAAATATTTGAAAAGATTTTAAAAATACTCGAAGGAAATTAATTAAGCCACCTATACGAGAAATTCATAAATTTAGTAATTATGATTTTCTGATACACTGAATCAATGTTAAATAATATGTAAATATGTTAATTCCTATACTTACTGGTATTAAGATATTACTACTGTTATTTTATGAATAGTACTAAGTAGTCGAAATTTCCTTATCCAATTAAAAGATAATATAATTTATGTAATTTATATAATTTATATATTTTATAATATATATAATTTATATATTATTATTATTATATAATTTATTTTTGTATTTTCGAAATGCATAAATTACATTATCCATAATTCACTTACTAATCAAATTTAGCGAAGTGTCGGTATTGAAAATCATTTTCGTTATTAAGTTATCAAGCAAATACGATGACAAGGTGAGGGGACGCTAATAAATATAAGATAATCTGTTATTCGAGAAATTTGACGCCATTGACGATAAAATTAATCGAAGCCTCTCTTGCGGAGCCTTTTGTCTTAAAGTCAACTTCGACGAAACTAACAGGATCATACACTAAGGCTTCTGGACCTTTAGATCATCTAAGGTCTCTGAACCATGCCTCGGCCACGTAATGAACCTACATGATTTACCAAGCCGTTAAAATCGTGGAAAAAATCACTGATAATCTTCAAAAAATTATCTCGAGCTGAAGAATTTATTTGAATAAGTATTTTATCATATATGTGTGCAATATAAGATAGTCTCTTTCGATTTTTGAATATATTTTGGCAACCTACATATTTTATGCATAAAAATAAAAAATTCTACGTGAGTATGAATCTATAGATATCTTAAGAGAATTGTCTAACAAAATTATGAAATGTGAGAAGAAATAATATATATAAATTACAAATAATTTAATTGTTACATTATTTAGATCGGCAGTACCATATTTGGAGAAAGTTATTTTTCTGATTTGAAAAAATTTACGAAATACAAATTGTACCATTATTGAGGGTCAATGGAAAGGAACTGAAAAAGATAGAATAATAGAGAAAAATGTCTGCATTCCAGAAGTACGAAGATAATATAATTCACTTGGAATTTAAAAAGAAAGTGTTAGGTTATGAATAAAAGTGGGCCAGACAAATGAAAATGCTTTGGAGTCATCATCGTTTTCGAAGGATTCGGTCACGTTCACAGCTATTTAGATAGGACAACAGTGTATAAGAGAGAGACGAATAATTAAATATTTCGGAATTTATTTTTCAACATTTCCTAACAATTTCAAAATGAGGTCAGCAGACTACTACATTAACCTACAAAAGTGGGAGCAGAAAAATTTTAATTGATTTCATTACTCAATATTTATTCTAGGTCAGTGACAGATACTAAATTTGAAAAATTATGTGCAATAACAATTTTGCAGAAAATAAAATTTTTAATTACAATCTAAAATTTAAATTAGTATTAACTATACTATATATTGTCAATGATAATTAAGTATATTAGATGATACATTGATTTACTAAATATAGACAATATTACAGTATATCTATATATATTCATGTTTCAAAATGTTAATTCTAATAACAAAGTATTATTTAACTTATTTATTCGACAAATTAAGTATTAATTTAGAAATTTATGCTGTTAGAATCTTGGACTTGTGGTAGACAAATAGATCTGTTATCTCATTACAATAATACAATAATAACATAGTTATCTATCTTAGACTTGAATTAAAATTAAGGCACTTATCCTGTTCTTCGCGATCAACATTTTTGTTAAATCATTTCACTAATATGTTAATGAACCTTCGTTCATATGATATTTTTACGTTATCTATAACCGTAGATAAATGGCAGAAATTCGTATGAAGGCTATGAAAAATTCTATAAAATATTACATTAATGGGGAATAAATGATCGATTGGATCGTGTCATGGGATTACCACGTGACTGTGGCAATAATCCTTTTTCCAACTTTGGTTTTTGAAACTAATCTTCACAGAATAGGGAAGCATAGCAGTTTCTGCATAATTTTAAATAAACTTTAAATTCATTTTAAATTTTAAATGAATAAGTAGACTTTTGCCAATATTAGGGGAAACTTGTTCTTGTGGTCTACTTCCCTTTCTATCTTATCTACCACTGAGTACCCAGTTATAAATATTCAGGCAGCTTTTCTTAAAATAGAAGAAAATTTTTCTCAAATCTTATCGACGTTGAAATAAAATATATTAAATATATTAAATACGTATTTAAAAAAAAGACGAATGGAAAATAAATTATTCCATTTTATTCATAGAAATATAGCGCCTGTTGTATTCGTTAGGTATAAAATATATCTAACGTCTGATCGATCATTTATTTCTGAATAAGTTCAAATATAAATTAAATATAATATTATATTACACACTAGTCGAATAAATTTTAATATTACAATTAATATTGCAGGATAAATTATTAATAATATTTTACTTTTTATTAATATTTTATAGCTTAGATGGTCACTGCCTACGCTATGGCATGCTTCTGTTACTCTCCAGAATCTTGCATATTATAGTAGATAAATGTACAGGAAAATTTTCCACCAATATAAATGATAGTGGTTAATTTAAAATATTTGCAATCGTTAGTATTCAGAGGTTAAACATCGCGACGAAAAACAATTCGATATATCAATGGCAACGTTCATTTCGCACGATTTTTCAAATCAAGAAGATAAAATTATTTCTGGATTATCTTTATCGTGAAAACAAGTTGTTGACAAGATTGACTGTTTAATTATTTCACTCGTTATCAGCTCCTTCCATAGTCGAAATATTCGTTCGAAATGCTTTAATGAAGTGCATTAATTAAACTCGCATTTTAATGTAGAAGCAGAAATGTTTAGCAAATACGATAAAATCTGCATATCAACGATTTTATAGTGCAATTTCATTTGGAAAACATGTGAAAAAATTTTATTGGCAATAATTTATTTACTAACGACTTGATTCAATATCTCGATATAAAATATATTTCTATACTGTTTATTTCGTATTTGTTTCTATATGTATATTTTAATATAAAATACTATAAATATTTTAAACAATCATTATATACAAACGTGTCTAAAATATTGCGAAAAATAACTCTGCTATAGTCCTATGGTCTATAGCTGATTTCTAATCTAATCTAATCGTATCCTATCTTTTTTTTTTATTAATTTCAATTATTCTATATTTTAATTTTGCTTCATAAAGTTCCTTCCCCTCAATAATTTCACAATTTTCTAGGAAATAAAAGCACCATGGTACTAAGAAGAAATTGGAGACTGAAGCAGTGTTAAGTGAACAAATAAATAAATAAATAAATAAATAACAATTATAAGATAATAACTAAAATGTCGTTATTAATTTATAAATTAATTACGTTCGATGGGGATGCAGGTATTTTTCTGTTCTAGCAAGAATAACATTGATATTAAGACATGTAATGGCAGCTTTTACTATTCTAGTGATAACGATAACGATTCAATTTTATATCGTCTAGACAAACGTTCGTATTACGATTTAAAAATTAAATCGTACTGTCATGCTCACCACTTAATATCTTCCAGTAAATTAAAGTACACTCAATGTGACGATAAAATTAGTAAATATAAAAATTAGAAAATAGACGAATAACACAAAAAAATGAACAATTTCTGTTATTTTAAACGAAACAATATTTTTATATCTTCGTTGCAACAATAACTCATAAAAATAAATATAAAGAATTTAAAATGATAAAATCTGTACTGATAATCAACGCAATTAACAATGAAGAATTGTATCTTTTATATAACAATCTAATTTGTTACATTATTATTGCGATCGTTATTAATTCAATATAATTTACTTGATTTCTCATATATTTCCCTGGAATTAATTTACTCTATATATTTATATACACATAGTATTGTATACAAGTCGTATACAATTGAAGAGTTCAACTCAAAAACGACCCTAGTCGATTTAATTAATTTTCCAAGAAAAATTATTTTTCGCTTACTTAACCCGTGACCTTTTCTTACATTACAATTCTGGAAAAATGTCTTTCTTTATAACAACGATTCCACAATGAGTCTTCCTTTGACCTACTAGAATACGCTATTACTTATGAATTAAAAGAGTTCACAAGGGTCGTTGTGAATTTTTATATTCTAAACTAATTCTTAAAATTAAGCACCTACGAAAAATCTCTGGTACAGTCTTCTAATCCTGTACAATTCGATACCAACTTAGATACAAACATCGTACATAGATGCATTTACAGCACATTTCTCTTTACATGTATAAAGTTTACATAAGAGCATTGTCATAATCTTCACCTAATCTCTGATCTCCTTATCTTTCTGACGCAACGAAAATCAAGAACGTATTTCGAAACCACAATTCTATTCACCCAACGATCCAAGAGGACAACATAATTCATGGTCAAAAATGTGGAGGACAAAGATCAGGTCGATTCGGATGGAATAAACGTTGAAATAATCCAGTTCTACTCGGGACTCGAGTTGCACGAGTGGATAACATCGCTTATCTCCTTTACGCGCGTGAAATCGATAAGGAATCGGCTTCTAAACGGGTATATAGCCGGTTAGACCCCCTCCACTTCTTTCCGTACGTCGAACACACTATCGATTAACAGAGAGACAGCAGCAGGTGCTCGGGATACCCTGACCTTGACATGGAGGGCGTTTTTCTGCCAACTCTCACGCTCACTGGGGTCAATTCGCCGGAGGAATACTGGTACCCTCTTCCGGCAGCAGCAGCCACCTCGGTCCCACGCGTGTGTCCTGTTTCACTTTCGCAATCGGGTAACAGGATCGCATACGCAGAGTCCTGGTCCTATATTCGCTTTATCGTGTCAGCAACATCTCGCGACGCCGACGCGAGCTTCGCCACGCTTACGTGTACATGTCCAACCGGTTCACGGTGAAGTTTCCCAACGCGTATGGGCTGTGAGAGTTCGTCCTCACCAGATAGAAGCCTCTTCTTCTCACGTCCACCTTATCACCAGCTAAAACAGCCGGATACCTGGGCGGACACAGGCCCAGAAGGTACAGCGTGAACCCGCCACACTGCCAACCCCAGAATCCCACGTCAGAGTTGATAGACTCCGCGAAGTACATCACAGATCTATGGTGATCGCACTCGAAAGGCTTCCACCTGTCCCAGCAGCCAGGCTGATTGATACCGCCGTTCATGTAAAAGTCTGCATGTCCACTCATCTCCACCTTGCCCTGGATGAACGCGTTTGTATGGAACACGTCCACGAAGTCCGCGTCACTGGCGTCCAGTTTATTGTCGTTGTCCCCGGTGACGAATAACGGCATGGCCGGGTCTAGACCCGTGATCCTCGATATCTTGTACGGCCTGAGAGTGTTCGCCGCGAACGCGGGTACGTGAGCACCAAGGCTAAACCCGATCACGTGGATATCCTCCGTGCCCACGTCCCTGAGCCGCTGGATCAACTGGGCCAAACAGTCACCCACGTGTGGCACGTTGTGCACGACGATCGGGTAGCACGGTGCGATGGCTAGCCGATGCCAATCCATGGCTATCACGTTGTAATCGAAGCTCTTTAGGTACTCATTTCGCACGTCTACCAGGTACGACAACTCCATGTCGGAGTCGTACCCGTGTACCACGATCTTGGTCGGTTTGGTAGGATCGAAATTGGTCTGCCTCAAGTTCGAGCTGGTCTCGTCTACTAGCACTTGCTGTGCGGCATCCGGGTTTCTCTGAGTATACAGGAAGAACGTCACCTCTCTGTCCGGACAGGTCTGATTACTGTTCACGAGACAGGGTCCTATGAAGTAATCCTTCGCGTTGCCTTGGTCCAACGTGTTACTGACTACGAAAGGCTGAGTGTCAGCTGCCGTGGCAGGTGTGATAGTCGGGAGGACTATGGAGATGCACAGGCAGAACGTTTTCCACGCTCTCAGACGATCCATGTTGACTGTACCGGCTGGTCCAGCGGCCCACCACCGGGAAGACTGAAGACTGGTGCCGTCGGGGCCGGTTTCACTCGACTGCCGGGACGAAACTAGCGAGCGGCTGGTGTGTCGACTCGTCGTGAGGGAAACTTCCCGCTCGATCAGCACGTACCACCGCCTGTACGAGCTCGGAATCCCTAAAGAGGGGCATGCCAGACGCGGACCTGTCTGATTAGCTGCCTCTGACGTATGCACGCGACGATCGATCGACACGCCACTCTAGTATCTATCAGCGGCTACCTCGGCAAAGGTCGAGCCGACGACGGATTGAGGCACGCTGTCGCGATATTAATTCCGCTGCTGGGCGTTCGCGTTCTGGCCGCATCGGAGACTGCTGATTCGCGGAATCGATCAGCGGAAAGAACGATAACGGAGAGCGATGCCCTACGTTCAATGGGACGATTGTCTACGAGCTGGGATCGGTAACGGTGTAGAAACAACGCCGGAAGGTTCGACACGAACAAATGGCGAGTCTGTCGATACGCAGTACCTTGCGCATGCGCCGTGCGACAAATGGAGCGCGGCTGGCGGAAATCGATGATGTCACTCGTGTGTAATTTTGCGGATGACGTACGATTGTTGTGGGTGCTACGGATCGATGACTCCGGTTGCACTTTACACCAAATTTTTTCCGCCATTTTTATCTTTAGTATCACCACGGTTTCGTTTCTTTTTGTTTCACGTCGAGCGAAATATGGGAGTTAGACTCTGTCACATTCTGGACCCAGTTTTATTTTGCGTTCCATGTGTCCAGGACCCTAGCGAATGATTTCGGGGCAAAATTTATTTATACGATGAAGTAATCTAAATTTATGTTTTTCGAATTGTTTCAATGGATAGAAACACTTTATTTACGTCATATGATTATTTAATTTATGAAAGAGAAACGAAGAAGTTCCTAATTTGAAGGTCACAAAAATATTCGAGACCTAATAAATTTAAGTCAAGGTAAATAAAATATCAATACTTTATACTAGTTAAATGTATTAGGTTAGTTATTCTCCTGGCTGTAGAACATATTTCAAGCACTTTAACGCGTTAACAAATATTTTTTGTTGATAATGTACTCGCATAATTTTTCTGTTCTTATTTTACAGGAATTTATAAAATTCGTTACCCTGATTTAAAAATTTTGTAGTCAGCATTAGATAGTAAAACTAAATTAGTGCCTAATCTCCGATCTCCCATGTGTTGGAGCTCGCTCCGGCGAAGCGTGGTGGGGGTATAGCTGTGGAGGGGATAACTCGGAGCGCGAAACGTTGCTAATAACATAGATACAGAGTACACTGTTACATGATAAAAGTTATTTCTAGCTCAGCCGATTCTAATCGGTGTTCTTTTAATTACCTTTTCCGTTCCATTAATTTTATACGATATTAAATCCGTTGTTTTAACGACCTCTGCCGAAGAAATGGTCGTTAGAATCGCGTTAATCGCTTCTAACGAAGCGAAACTACACAGGTCTCGCGCATATATTTGATATTAAAATCGCAGTAATTATTGTTCACGAGGTTTCGCGGCATGAGAGGAAGTTCGTTGTCATTCAAACTGATCTTTGATGTCATTGAAGTTGGTCACGCAAAGGCAATGTATTTCTACGTTTCTAATATAAATCAGAGATACCAACTCGCGATTATGCCAATGGGAATAGTCCATCGTGGTAAAATTTAATTTTTGTTTAATTAATTAAACGTTATCTCTAATAATGATCGTTAATTCGAGAAACGAACGATTTCTTTCTTCCAAATCTTTGAATTAAACGAATATTATGGGATATTTCGAAATAATTTTCAATTGCACGAATTTATTATTTTTGCCATTTTCTCTGCTTTAACATCACACGTGAAATTTTTCTTGTCGGTTTTGAAATTCGACATAAATATTATTCTAAATTTTACCTAGCGGGTGTTTCAAATTTGTTAAACGAACGAGCGAAAGGTTTGTTTCTGTTTCCACATTTTCAAGGTAAATTTTAGTTATATAAACGTGTTATTTCAGCACACGCTATTTGCCATTTTCATTGTTCCAATGTCTCATGTTACGAATAAATTTTCCATACGTGTTTCAAATTTCGTTACGACTATTATTACAAATTTCGTGTATCAGATTTTTCGAATGTTATCATTGCCATTATTTCGCTTAATTTTTTAATATCATTATTTCAGTACAGTGATTTTCAAGCGAATTATCGAGAAATAATTTCCACTGCAACAAGTTTGATTTTGTAGATTATTCTGCCACTCGATTATTATTTATAACAGAAGTTTAATATTCGCTGGTTCATCTGATAAACATGACAAAGACATACTAATTGATTTTGTGAGAAATTTGAATTAGTCCCGGGGCTCGTTACAAAGAATAAAGGAGATCGTTTCGCATAAATTTTAATGCCTGATTAATACGTTATTATCTATTATGAGATATTAACCGCTAGGCAAGGTATCTCCGGCGAATATCAAAAGGAAAATTCTGAAAACGATTATGCACGTGTTAAGGTGCAAGCTGAACTCAATAAGGTAAATTGCGAACGCAGTTCCTCAAAAGGAAACAGTTAATGATGTAAAAGAAAAAGGAAATACCTCGATTAATCAGGATAGTTATCGTGATTTAATGTTACTCATATTTCTAGGAATTATTCAAAGTATCAATTGTTTCTAAGAATTTTATTTTACAATTTCTGAAAATTATTAAGCAAGGAAGAATGGAAATTTGATAAATGTTCTGATTCTTTGATGCTCCCACATCGCCCAATAAATCATTCCTGATACGTTATCAGACAATGTGTACTCAATTAATTAGAACTTACGAAGATTCCCAGAGATATTTGTCAGACGATGTTATCTTTCCCAAAACTTCCTTAGTAATCGAGACAGCAGAAATTAATTATTTATCTTAAATAATCATCTAAACTAAATCATCTTTTTCGTATGAAAATTAAAAAATTTTTAATCAGCTAGATAATTAAAACTTTATTTCATGTTCATATTCACCTAATCGATGATATATTTAATCGCAAGTACAGTGACAGGTGCTTGAAATTTAGTTATGCTACAAAATATTGTGGCTCAGTTACTGAATATTAAAATATATAATCAAATATATATATAAATATTTTTCTTATTTTTTAATATTTAATATTAACATTTATGAATTTTTAATAAATTACAACTTTTTGGTATTCAATATTACGCAGATAATATTTATATTATACTATATTATTATATTAATACGATTTACATGAACATTTATATTCCATTATTTCCAATATTTAATACAATAATACCGAAACACCAATATACCTTAACCACTTAATTGTATTTGTCGTGCAAACACATAAATCCAAAGTTGTATTGCGGTGTGGTTGGTCTGTATACCCGTCGTGTGAAATAAAAAATTACACTTTAATATAAAAGACTCAATAAATAGAAAACTCGAAATTCCAATAAGATATAATAAAAATTGGGTGGCATGTTTCCTTCATATTACCAATAAAACTGGTATGTATTTTATGAAATAAAATTTGATTATTCTTTTTGATATACTGTATATTCCCCGAACAATATTATTTTCTACAAAGCGAATTGGTTATTTTCTCCAATACATCTGGAATTCTCCAAATTGTTTCGTGTACTTCCCCGTGTATTAAAAAATACCACACTGAAATTAACCAAATGTTTAAAAACTATATTCTTTTCAATTTTTCTTCTTTAATAATAACAATTTTTGAGTTTTCAATATCAATATAACCTTTCAACGACAAATCTATAAATTTTTAACTAATAAAAATGTAATATTTCCTCGTTTTGCTTTACCTTTTTCATAAAATTCATTTGACGTGTATACTCGTCATTGCTTGATTTTAATTCCGCATTCTGTGAGGGATTTTTAACACTCAAATTACCGATCTTTAATGGGTACCTAAATGAAGCTGGCATAGATAATAGTAATTTCAGCGATATGACGATGATAAGTAAACGTATTAATTACAGTTCTATCTCGATAAAAGTTTTAATATTAATCTTTTTAAAAGCAAGTATACGTTTTTAGTAGCAAGAACGAAAATTCCGAGACCAGTCATTTTGACTGAATTGGTGGTTCTACTATTAACCCTTTGCACTCGAGAGGCGCCTTTCAGTCGCCATTTGATAAAATTTCGAATCTCGACATTAATTAATATATAAAATTTAAAATAATGTACCAGTATGGGAGGTATCGAAATTAAATAATTGTACACGTTAATTATTATGCGATTCCTTAATTAAAAAAATATAAAAAATATCAAAAAATATCGTCAGTTTTATAGCAGAAAATTTTTCAACTCGTACCCTTCTTTAGCAAAAAGAAAACGTCGAGTGCAAAAGGTTAAACTGGTTAATGTACATATGCATAATACGATATAATACTCGAGAAGAATTAAAAGAAATCGAGACCTGAAAAGCTCGAAATAATGACGTGTCATTAACAACCAGCAGAGCCGAAACTGCAGGAAAGTGACGAACGTGAAAAATGATGGCTTGAATATTTGTTTCGGAAGTGGCCGTGAAAGTGGACGTGTACTTCCGTTGCTAGAAGGTGAAACTCTAGCTTAGTATGCGGCCAGTATGCGCGTACTTTCGCGTGGGGCATACAATGAATTCGAATTGCGGCCAAAAACACTTTTACGTTCGTTTCGAGAACCAGTCTTGCTGTCCCAATTACGCGACGTCTCTTTAATTACACTGTTCAACACGAATTTTAATTTACAATATCCATTGAGCAACTCTTGCGGAGTTTCCCTTCCCGAATGTGAAACCGTGAATGAAATTGTTTTATTATCTTTGGTTTTCGAAAAATGAAAGTATTCCTAGAAATATGAACTACAATAAAATGGATTTTGAACTAAAATGAAGGATTACGCAGAAACTAAGAAAGTAAGGAGGATCATTCTTATCTTGAAATTTAGGTGAGAGTTTCGCGAATTTATCGGTATACAATTATATATAATTGTAATTATTTGTGATTTTAAGTAATTGCAATTCATCGTCAAAGTTAAAAAATAGGGCGCCAAGTGTACTTTTTATGAATATTACAGATTTTAGAAATAATTAAAATTTTTTGAATAGTGCTATCGCCATTGTTGTCCGAGAAAATCGCGTACTCATACGAAGAATTTTCATATGTTGGAAAAGTTTTGAAGGATTATAAATTTTAGAAAAATAAAAAATTTTTAGATAATGCTATTTCCATTGTCTTTCGAGAAAATCGTGTATTCGTAGGAGGAATTTTTATATGTCGGAAGAGATTCGACGAATGTTTTCTTGGTGAAAAATCGAACGGCTAAGGGGATGGTGCGCGATAAGGGGCGAATTTTTTTCTAATAAAAGCGCTGATATTATAAAAGTATACCTTCGTGGCCACTTGGTGTCGTGATTCAATAAAAATGGAAATAATCCGGTGTAT